GCCTCCCCGAGCGAGGCGGCCGGGGGCCCCTCCTTCGCGCGCCTACAGCTCCTCCCCGCGCTCATCTCTCCTCCCACCGCCGTTAGCCTGCGCCGCCGGCCCTCGGCCGCGTGATGCTGGCGGCGGTGGGCTTGCCCTTCCCCGCGCGTGGTCCTCCCCTGCTCTGGCAGGGATGGCCGGCGGCGGTGCGCCTCGGCCGGTGGCGGTCTGGCGTCCCGGTGTGGAGGCCGGCGGTGCTCGCCGTGGATGGTGCCGCCTCTTGGCGGCGGGGTGGTCCGGTGGTGCTGGCCGGCCGGGGGCGCATCCCCGGCCCAGATCTGGACCCGTAGGGTCCCTTCTGGGTCCTTGTGGGTCGGCTCCGGCGCGACCGCGACGCTCTCTGTATGGGGAGGCAGGGAAGCGGCTTGGACGGGGACAGCGACGCCGACGGCGTACCAGCTGTTGCGTGGAGGCGGGAGCTGTCCGGGCCTTTGAGGGCCTGGCCGGGCCTGTGGGGCCACGGGCCCGGTAGGCTCCTGACATGGCGTCCGGTCGGCTACCGTCGTGGACGGTGGAGGTGGGGCCCTCCCGTATGCCGACGGTGCTGTTGCCCTAGTCCCGGCTCCTCTTCTCCGTTGTGCAGACCATTTTCGCAGTGCCGTGGTGAGACAACGTGGGAAGCTTCATGTCCGTGTTGGCGCAGGGTGGTGGTCGGTCTAGTGGCGAGCTCCGGAGTGCTTGAGGTAGAGGCTGGGATCGGGAGAAATCTCTGTTGGCTTGGCCGACACCGACGCGGTGGCGCCTGAGGGTGCCGCCGGACCTTCCTGTAGGGCGTCGGGGCTACCCTTCCTCTCTCCTCGCCGTGTACTGGGGGAAACCCTTGGCAACAGCGTCGTCATCGTCGCGTCCCTTTTTGGAGGTGTTGTTAGGTACTGGCATTTCGGAGTTTCGGAGCTTGGTGGACGATCTCCGGTGGTCGCGGCGGTCATAAGGCTTTGTCATTTTTGTCGATCCGCCGTTATCGGCATTTGTTTATTTTCTTTTTTCTTTTTTCTTTCTTTTGGACGTGTTTGTGCTGCTTCCGTCCCAGCGCCTATCGTTGGTTGTATCGATTGGTTGCTTTGTAATACAAAACGGGGAAAACCTTTTCTCAAAAAAGACCACCTTTCAAGCAAGAACACTTGGTGCCTGCTCTGTAGCTTAGCCATCTACATGGATAAGACTCTTCCTTGTCCATCGGCTTCCTAGAAAGCTGGAGAAGAACGAGAGAGAGATGTTAGCGCAATTGTACAGACCATGTACAAAATGAGGTACGGCCAATTAATAGATCGATTGCTGCATCACGACAGCGATCGAGGTTAGTAGACTATCTCCATCGGGTTTTTTTTAAGAAAAACTTTCAATCTATTTATCAACGGGTAAAGTAGTATAAGAAACATCAGAAGTAAAAAGTAAGTACAAGTCTGTAGATCATCTAGCGACGACTACAAGCATTGAAGGGAGCCGAAGGTGCGTTGTTGTCATCGTCTTTCCTTCATCGAAGCCGAATAAACCTTGTTGCAGTAGACAGTCGGGAAGTTGTCGTGCTAAGGCCCCATTGAACAAGCACACCAGGCAGCAACCACCACTGATTAAGAGATGCGTAAATCAGAAGGATCCAATTTGTAGACACATGAACATAGACGAATGAAGATTGGATCCACATGAATCCATCGAAGACAAGCGCTGATTGAATCTCGTGAGATCCGCCATAGACAAACCACCACACACCCTCCAACGATGCTAGAAACATCATCAGGACGGGGCTAGGCAGAAAGAACCTTATTTCATCTTCAAAAAGTCACCGCCTCGTCTCTCTGAGCGGCACACAAACCCTGACAAAACTGAAAAAAAAACATCTGAAAACGAAGCCCTCCCGCCGACAAAAGTTAAGATCCACCGTGCTTTCATGGACCTAAGGCCATAGAAGACGAGATAGACCGACGACGGCGCCGACAGGAGGCACAAGAAACCCTAGTGCTTAGGGTGCCCTCGTGTACAAAAACGAAGTTCTAGCCAAGGGATGTGATATAGCCCGCCGAGACCTCATCAAGCAATTGGGCACACTGAATTATATCTCCATCAGTTTCACTAGGTAGAAAACGGAATAGGAAGAACTTGCTCCCATCCCGCCCGGTCAATCGGGAATTACAATGCCAGAGTGTTCCTGTCTTGGAATTCTTTTAGGGATAATAAAATAGGTAATGTTTACATTTAAAAAAGTCAATTCCAAATTTTACCACTTCTATTTTAATATATTGTTACGCTAATTACCCTCATTTAGCAGTGCTCTATCCATATTAACCCATAAAGTTGTACTAGTTTTTATCACTTTTAAAATATTTTAGATTGCAATAGATTTTGTAGTGAATCTTTTGCCGGACAAAGCGTCGGAGTTATATATAGTGTGATGCAACACCCAAAAGCAAATGCGATGAAGAAGAATGATACGGAGGCAACAAACAAGAAGATGTGAGGCATAAATAAGGAACTCGTACAGACGAAACCACATAAATAAGGAACTCGTACAGACGAAACCACAAACGAAACAAGAAGATGTGGGGCATAAATAAGAAATATCTAAGATGCACTGTTTGAACTCTTGGTCGCGTGAATGAATTTGTCTCGTCAGTTTGAAAAAAAGAAAAGAAAAAGAATTTGTCTCGTCGATGGGGCCTTAGCAGTGTGAGGCTCAAGTGAGCTTTGGTGCGTGCTACCAATATGTCCCAATTTTTTTACGACTAGTTGGGATTTTGATGGTGTATTCTTTTGGTGGCCTTGAATTTAGGAGGTTCTTTCTCCTCCCAAACATTGTAGGCGTGTGCCTATGGCCATTACGATTAAGCCAGCCACAGATATTATGCCAGCACTTTGATTCTCGACTTGTCGTTGTACGTAGCTCCATATGGCAGCGGTAGCAGTTGCAGACACTAGATTCAAGTGACATGTGAGCGGAGTGGACACGTAGTGCGTGATCTAGCATAGGAGTACAGGACAAACGTGACGACATTAATAATTAATAAAAAAAAGTCAGAAAGAACAAAAAACAATGGTTGGCGACCCCGGCCGTGCAATCCAAGCCACTCAGCGGTATTACTTTCCATTGGGTGAAGCACTTTCATTTTAGAGCGAAATCACTAATTAAGAAATATTCGTTGGAAAGAATACTTCACTTTCTCGGGTCACGACAAGTGGCGCACATGCAGCGCGCCACCTGTCGCAACCTAGGAGTTTTCTCTTTTTTCGTAGATTCATTTATTCAAAACGTTTTATCTCTTAAACCGTGCGTCCAAATCTCAAACCGTTTTCACTATTGGATTCCTCGCGTTGAGATTTTCAAAACTAAATCCCATGTTGATAGGTTGTGACGAACTTTTTTTTTACGAAAAAAACCGGGCGAAAAAACCGAACCAGAAGCACGTTTTTTCCCCTTTCCGAATGAGGCACACCCGTGCCTCTCGCGAAATCACAACCGTGCCTCTCGTGGAAGCAAAACCGTGACTCTCGTGGAAGGAAAAAAAACAAAAAACATATTTTTTTTCGTTTCCGAGAGGCACGGCCGTGACTCTCGCGAAAGCACAACCGTGCCTCTCGCGAAAGCAAAATCGTGACTCTCGCGAAAGAAAAAAAACAGAAAACGCGTATTTTTTTCCCTTTTCGAGAGGCACGGCCATGACTTTCGCATAAGCACAACCATGCCTCTCGCGAAAGCAAAACCATGACTTTCACGAACGAAAGAAAACAGAAAAACGCGTTTTGTTTTCCCCTTTCCGAGAGGCACGGCTGTGACTCTCGCGAAAGCACAATCGTGCCTCTCGCGGAAGCAAAACCGTGACTCTCGCGAAAAAAAACAGAAAACGCGTTTTTTTTTCGTTTCCGAAAGGCACGGCTGTGACTCTCGCTCAAGCATAACCGTGCCTCTCACGGAAGAAAAACTGTGACTTTCGCAAAAAGGGAAAAAAAAAGAAAACGCGTTTTTTCGTGCAATTTTTTTTTGAATTTTCTTTTGATCGAAAAGCTAAGAAAGACCGGGAAAAAATCAAAACATCGAAAAAATAAAAAAACATTTAAAAGACCGAAAACGCGTGCGAAAAAATAAAAATAACAAAATTCGAAAAAAGCGTCCAAAACGCGACACGTGACGAATGACTGAGAGCACGCCAAGTGGCGCTGATCGTTGCGAGGCTTCCGAAGAAGCGCTCGTTAACTAGTTGCTTCCATGAAATTAGCGAGTAAAAATAGGCAGCGCTAAGAAACAGGGCCGGAGCCGGCCCACGGGACGGGTTCCTCTCCATGGGCCTACTAGTAGTACCAGTAGCGTCCATTATTGCACACAAGTTGCCTAATCACGGTCCTAATCCCTGCTGCGTCCCGGTCATCCTAATCCCTCCCTCCGCCGTCCGCCCCCGCTTTAAAACGCCCACAGCTTCCTTTCCTCAACCTGTGTCCTCCTTCCTTGGCCGCTGACCACCTCGCTCCCCTCCCCTTGGAATCCGCGGACCCATGGCTTCTTAAACAACTCGGACCTGCGGAAGCACAGCGCATCACACCGGAGGTTGCTTCTGCTGTTCCTCCTCGCCCTCGCCGCGGAAGAATCTTGGTCCTGATTCTCGGAGGGTCTTGATGGGGATCTGCGCGTCATCGGAGCACCTCGCCCAGCAGGGGCAGGAGGCGGACGAGAGCATCGTCTATGTCATGGACGAGGAAGGAGGAGGCGGCGCGTCGTCGCCGAGGAAGGTGGCCTCCCTCTTCTCCCAGAAGGGCAAGAAAGGCCCCAACCAGGACGCCGTCATCCTCTGCCAGGTAGTAATTTCTTCACCACCTCTATCTATCTAGGCGTGTCTACTTTCTCCTTCTTGATGTTGGTTTGAATTGCTCCATTCTGTGCTCCAATTGTCACTCTTCTAGCTCTACTCTGGTTTTGGGTCTTCTTGAGGCCAGCTGGGAGCTTCCATGAGCTTATCGCCTCATCACAAGAACATTTTTTAATTTGCTCTGCAGTTATCTGTGAATCTTCTTCTTTTTCTATGTGATTCTTTCTTTATTAGTACAACTCCTATATATATGCTGGAATTCGTGTCTTTATTGGGTGACCTGGGGTGGTTTCGATCAGTGGGTTATGCTTATGCCTGAAACTTGGGATAGGTGTGTTCTTGATTTTTTGTGGCCGTAGAGCAGTTTATCTTGATTCTTCAAGCTTCTGTGGTGGCTCAACACTGTACAGATATTTCCATCAACAGCACAGCTGGACTAGTACAATCTTTTTTGCGGTCAAATTACTCGACCAGTTTTCGCTTCTGCCCTGTCTAATCCTAACCACGTACCCGTTCCAAGTCCCCCCCCCCCTCCCCCTCTTACTTTTAGCTATTTATTAGTAGGTGTTTAAACGTTTCCAGGAACTAGTAGGTTCACTCGACAAATTGTGGAACCTTTTTCATTTGTACTAATTCTTGTTAGAGAGATGGTGAAGGAAACTCATAATGTCAGGAGTAGTTTCCTTGTGCAAACCATTGCCCTTCTACCAAAAGGGTGAAATCATTCAGATTAAAGCAGTTACAGGGGCTGTTTGGTTTGAGACTAAGTTTGTTTAAGGTTGTCACACTTAAGGTTAGACAAATTTGACCAACTTGGATGGGTGTTTGGTTCAAGCCACACTTTTTAGAGAAGCCACACTAGGGTCTCACATCACATACACTCAAAAAGTGTGGCAAAATTTTCTTAAGCTTGTGGCTCTCATTTTAAAAAACTAACTTTAGACAAGTATGGCAACATTGCATGGCAAAGTATGGCATAGCTAGGCCTAGAATCAAACAGCCCAACAATATTTTTCCCGCACCGCAATCATTGCACCATGTGACGTGATCTACATCGAAAAGTGGGACACCATGTGCTCCTGTGTTTCCAAAGATTCCAAACTGTTCCCAAACACTGCTTTTACCGAACACCACTAACCTCACCTACTATTCGAGTTTTTAATTACTCCCTCCTTCCATCTATATAGGCTTAATGCGTTTTTCAAGGCTAACTTTGACCAAATGCTAGAGCAACAATATGTGACATGCAACTTACACAAAGCATATCGTCAAATTCATATATGAAAGAAGATTTCAATGATATAACTTTCATATTATGTATGTCATGTACTATTAATCTTGTCAATAGTCAAAGACCGTCTTAAAAAACGCATTAGGACTTATATAGATGAAAGGGGAAGTAGTACCTACCGAATACTCCCTCCATTCCAAAATATAGTGCGCCCGCGCTTCCCGAGGTCTAACTTTGACCATAAATTTAACCAACGAGACCAACTGCGGCGGGAGAAAAAATTGTATAATTAAAAACTTCTTTCAAACACGAATTCACTGATATAATTTTTGCTCCCGCCGCAATCGGTCTTGGTAGTTAAATTTACGGTCAAAGTTGAAGCACGTGGATAGAGGAAGCACTACATTGTGGAATGGAGGGAGTACTATAGTACAGTAGTATATTCAGAATCTCAAAATCAACTGTGCAATTTTGTCATGAATTTTGTGTTGTTTTTCACCAGGGATTCGGCATGGAGGGCGGCGTGTTCTGCGGCGTGTTCGACGGCCACGGCAGGTGCGGCCACTTGGTGAGCAAGCTGGTGAGGGACTACCTCCCCTTCATGGTCCTGAGCCACCGGAACGCGCTGCTCCTGGCGGACGCGGACGCGGACGCCGACGACCCCGTGTTCAGCGACGCCTCGCCGTCGTCCTCCGCGGACAGCAGCGGCAACTCGTCGCCGCACCCGTCGCAGATGCTGGGGGAGTGGAGGGAGGCCTGCACCAATGCGTTCAAGGCCATGGACAACGAGCTCAAGCTGCAGGCCAACATGGACTGCAACTTCAGCGGCACCACGGCAGTGTGTGCCATCAAGCAGGTAACTAGTCAATTGATCGAGTATTACACAACACAAAGAGAAAATGTTGCACGTCGATGGGGCACATCATCTTACAAAAAAAAAAGAAATCTGTGTTTGAATTTGATGGGTAACAGGGCAAGGATCTGATCATTGCCAACCTCGGAGACTCGAGGGCGGTTCTTGCGACCATGTCTGGGGCCGGCTACCTCAAGGCCGTACAGCTCACCACCGACCAGAAGCCCGGCCTGCCTGGTGAGACCTCCGGCCACTGCATTCTATTCTTTCATGGGCCATTCCGCCATTGCATTGCGGTAATGTAGTAATTAATTAAGCTTCACCTTGATGTGATCACGTACCTACAGAGGAGGCGGAGAGGATCAAGAGGTGCGAGGGGCGCGTGTTCGCGCTGAGGGAGGAGCCGGGCGTGATGCGGGTGTGGCTGCCCGGCGAGAACCTCCCGGGGCTGGCCATGGCGCGCGCGCTGGGGGACTCGAGGCTGAAGCACCACGGGGTCATCTCGACGCCGCAGGTGACGGGGCACCGGATAGGCGACGCGGACCTGTTCATGATCCTGGCCACGGACGGGGTGTGGGACGTGCTGAGCAACGAGGAGGTGGTGTCCATCGTGTGCGCCACGCCGCGGAAGCAGCACGCGTCCAAGGCCGTGGTGGAGGCGGCGGTGCAGAGGTGGAAGACCAAGTACCCGTCCTCACGGGTGGACGACTGCTCCGCGGTCTGCCTCTTCCTGCACGACCACGGCGCGTCGGCGCCGCAGCGGCCAGGAAGCTCTAGCTAGCCGGCGCTCGGGGAGAAGGAGAGGGGTCAAAGATAAGATACTCTCAGGCTCCGGCAATAGGCCGGCCGTTCAGCTCCATTTTGTACATGGTTTTCCTTCTTTTTTTGCCGGGGTTTTGCTTTTCTTTTTTTGCAAATGTGATGCAAATACTTTTCTAGGTTTGTGTAAGTGTAACATAGTTTCGGCTCAAGAAAAAATAGTGAAGAAATCACGTTTGCGATGCTTTGCATAGAAAAGACAAAACAGACAGCTCGAACTGCTTTAAACATGAGCCTTTCCAGAGTATTGATATATTTTTGTTGGCACATTGAATGTTATTTCCCCACGAAATTTTGCACGAGAATAAAACATTCAAACATGTGTTGTAAAAAAAATCAGTTTTTTTTATATTTTTACTATATTTTATTTGCACCTGCAGGTCCTTGCTAATTAACTTCTCAGGTTTCTGCTTTTTGTTTCATATAAATTGTAAAGGCGGTTCAGAAAACACCAGAATTGATAAAAATTACATCCAAGTCTCTTGACCTCCTAGCGATGATTACAATCACTAGAGCGAGCCGAAGGCATCTGTCGTCATCAACCCTTTCTCATCGAAATCGGGCAAACCTTGTTGTAGTAAACAATCGAAAAATTATTATGCTAAGGCCGAACAAGACCAGCTCACCAAAACATCAACCGCCGCCGATGCAAAGAAGTGTAGATCAAAAGGATCCAACTTATAGACACACGATGACACAAGTGAAGACCGGATTCAAGTGGATCCACCATAGACAAACACCAAACGAATTTCGTGTGATCCGTCATATATACAACTCCCACTATGCTAGACGCGCTACAACTTTGTAGTCGCCTCGCCTTCCTAAACAGGACCCAAAACCTAACCAAATTCAAAAAAACTCTTAAAAATATAGTCCTCCCACCGGTCAAGGATGGATCCACGTGCATCCATGGCCCTAAGGCTACAGGAAATGAGGCACGGGGGCAGCGCCGATGAAGTCAAGGAGGCGGCGCCGACAGGAGGCAAGGAAACCATATCGCATGTGCTCCCGAGAGTCACAAACGAAGAGGTACGGGAAGACAATTTCTCAAGTTTAATCCTCCAACTCTCTTCTTTATTTTCACATTCACATGCCCTAAATTCACGAAGCACGCATAAGGGACTCATTGAAAAAAATAGGATTTTTTAGGATTTGGGACTACTCCACTCCATCAAATCCACTTTGAAAGAGTTTCACTTGGGAGTTACAGCTTTACCAAATGCTTCCTCTGTTCACAAATATAAGATGTTTTAACTATTTTCGGAATCGAATGTATATTGACATGTTATAGTGTGTTTGTTCACTCACTTCAGTCTGCATGTAGTCTATACAAAATATCCAAAACAATATTTGTGAACGGAGGGAGTGGCAGTTTATCATGTTTGGCTTACAGCTAGCTCCAGTTTCAAGATTGAAATTTTTGGCGGGAAGGGTCTATTTGACTGGGTAACCTGGGGATATAAAATAAAGGGTTATCCACTTACTGGTGGTAGTGGTGGGTAATATTTCCCCAACTCCACGAGGATTCGTTGAACTAAGAGTTTTTGGAGCACCTCATGAAGAGCTTCACGAAAAACAAAGAGTTGTACATTAGATTTTTTTTCTGAGTGGGACTGTTGGGAAACGTTGCATGTAAAACAAAAATCCTAGGGCAACCCCAAGGGGGGCGGCGGCCACCCTTGGCCCCTGCCCTAGCCACGCCCCTCCTTCCTTTTTGGGCGCA